CATAAGATATAGATTGATTCGTCCATAAGTCGGTTATCGAGTTGGCTCTCTAGCCACATGTTGAGACATATCATGAGCTCTAAACGAGCCAGCTCACGAGTTTAGCTCAACAAGACACCGAGTCGAGCTAGCTCGCGAGCTTCACGAGCTGAGCAAAGCTTAGCTCATGTTCGGCTCGTTTATTAACGAGCCGAGTTTCGAACGGGCTTTTCTCGAGTCGAATTGCAACCCTAAGTAGGGGTGGGGAGCGGATCCAGTCAATAACCTTGTGGTCAATAACTATGCATAATCCAATCAGAATCCGCCACATCAGCGCCCCTTCTCTCTCTCCAGAAAAGCCTTTAATTTTCCTCATTAATCTTTAACGGACGATTTCTCACTCGTTTTAAGTCGAAATTTAATTTTTTTACATAGTTAGATCATACTAATTGTGCTCTTCAAAATGATATACATTTTGATATATTTTTGGAACAAAAAAAAATTGAGCCATTTTTTACCAGTCTATACTAGGAATGGCAATGGGGCAGGTCCGGGGAGGGTTTCTTGGTACCCAGACCCGGCCCGTGGCAGGTCGGGTAATTGATCACGGGTCGCGGGTCGGGGCAGGTCGATCCAATGGATATGCAATTTATATGAAAACATTAGAAATATTCGTTACTTTTATTATAAGATTAAGAAAACAAACAATATTATCACAATTGTAGTTAAATTATTGGAGAAATTGAGGTTTTTACTAATTTACAACTTTATTATAGCTAAAATATGATGCAATAAAAGAAAATTTCTAAGTAATTTGACTAAGATTACATGTAATTTAGACAAGAACGAGTCGAGAATGGGGCGGGTCAGGGCAGGTCGGGTCGATGAGACTACCCATGCCCGCCCCGCCCGGGTCTGACCCGCCCCAAAACAGGTCAAACAGGTCGGGTAAAACGGGTCAGGTCGAAATTGCCATCCCTAGTCTATACCATATGGTATTGACTAGTATTGAAATAAGAGCATACTATGGTATGAAAAGCGTAACATGTTGGTATGAACAAACCAAGACTGTAGAATGGTTGAATACATGATAGTAATAGTATATTAACTTTCATTTACGAATTTTAACATTGTGTACCACAAGATACCACCCCGTACCAGGGTGGTATTGTGTGGTATTTTTTTATCATGTATTTTGTTCACCCAGAAATTTGTTAATCCAATAGATCATGATAAACTCGTTCCTTCTATGCAAAAAAATTCAAAAATGAATTAAAAACGAAGAAGATACCATATGGTATGCAGTTGGTACCGAGAGGCCCGGAAAAAAAAATTCTCAAAAAATATTGAAAATGGATCTCATTTTGTAGAGCACAATGAACTCATTCCATCTATGCAAAAAAAAAAATTTGAAATCCGAGTTAAAACGAAGAAGATATGAGCCGATTAAGAAAATAAGGGGAAAATAAAAAGGCCTTTAATTCTCCACCCTTAGATTTGAATTTTCTTAATAAAGGGTCCATATTTAGTTATTGATAGGTGACTGGAATATATCTTGAACGGCAGGGTTGACTTTGGTCTACGTTGTGTAGTTTGTGACTGGAATGAGAGCATGATTATGACGGCGACTAGAACTAAAGCTGAGGATTGGAGCATAGAAGTTGCTGAAGGAAGGGTTCTTGTTCATCATAAGGAAAGCCTATGAGAAGGGATTTACTCCCATTATAGTAGAGACGGACTGTAAGAAGCTTGTTGATGGGGTTAGAAATCCCGAAGATGTTAGAACAAAACTTGGCTCAATATGCAGTGATACTACAGTGCTTGGTGAGAAGCTAGGAGAACAAGAATGGTGCTTCTCTTATCGTGAATTTAATAGTGTGGCTCAAGAAATTGAATATTTTTATTCCTTGTAACTCTTTGAATTTGAGTTGACAGACTTTGTTCCAAGTAGGACTATGGAGATGATATATAACGAGGTCTATGTATAATCTGTTTTGGTTAATAGAATGAATGGTTTCCTTAAAAAAAGGCAAAATACAGTTCCATAGCCATAACTTTACACTTTGTAACAAATATAGTCAAATTTTGAAAAATACACAGAAATAGTCACATTTCTAAACTTGTTTGACTAATTTAGCCATTTTCGTTAAAAATGTTGATGGAGTTAGAGATGTCGTTAAAGTCCATCAACAACATGCTGAGGTGGCACCTCCTCAGCTTCCACGTTAACTCTCAGTCGCCACATCATGCCACTTATATGCCACGTCAAATTAAAAATATATATTATTTATTAAAAAATATTTCTAGATAATTATTAAAATTTTCCCCTTAATTCAGATAGTTTCCTAAAACGAACTAGGATCTCATTCAAACGTTGGAACCCATAGTTTGATCCATCAGAGAATACAGGCAGGTCATCAGCAAAGCAGAGATGTGTTAAACCAATCTTCTTACACATTGGATGGAAGGGGAAATGCCCCTTCTGTGCTTCCTTATCAATCAAACATGAGAATATTTCCATTGCGATGACAAATAGGTAAGGGGACAGTGGACACCCATGCCTAAATCCTTTGCAAGCAGAGAAATACCCTACTAATCCCCCATTCAACCCCACACTAAGCATAGGAGTGCTAACACACATCCTAATCCAATCTATAAACTGCTCAGGGAACTCCATATGCTTCAAAACTTTAAAGATGAAAAGCCAATCCACATAATCGAATGCCTTCATTAAGTCAATTTTAAGAGCACAACGAGGAGATACATTCTTCTGAGCATACTTATGGACAAGCTCATGTGCAAGCAAGATATTGTCCCCAATTGATCGCCCTTTTATGAATGCAGTCTGATTTAAACTGATTAAATGAGGTGATTGTGTTGAGCCTATTTGCAATTATCTTAGCAATGGTTTTGTAGATAGTGTTACAGCAGGATATGGGTCTAAAGAATCTCATTTCATCAGGGTTATGAATCTTAGGTACCAGGGTCAAAATGGTAGCATTCACTTCCCTAGGCATCCTATTCTCATAAAAACAGGTTTGGATAGCGAAAGTTACCTCTACACCAATCACTGGCCAAGCATGTTGGAAAAAAGCTGCAGAAAAACCATCCGGGCCTGGACTTTTATCCCCATTCATTGCAAACACAACATCTTTGATCTCCTCTGCTGTGATAGAAGCGCAAAGCCCATCATCACTTGTGATTTTCTTCCTTATAAGTTCAGAATAGAACTCATCAGACTCCTCCATCACCTCTGGATCTTTCCTGCCCAGTAAACGTTTATAGAAACCCTCAGCAATATCCCCCATTTTATATAAATCTGTAACCTTGTAAGCCATTAATTGATAAGATTGTTGCTAGAATTAGTAGTTGGAAGTCTCGGTTCCTCTCATATGCTGGTAGGGTGGAGCTGGTTAGTTCAGTACTGTATAGTTTACACCAGTACTGGATGGCATTCTTTCTCCTTCCAAAGGCAGTGATAAGGGAAGTGGAGGGCATTTGTAGCAACTTCTTATGGGGAATGGGTTAGAGTGGTAGAGTCAAAGCAAAGATAGGGTGGAAGAATCTCACTTATCCTAAGAAGGAGGGGGGTCTGGGGTTGAGAGACTTAGCAACTTGGAATGTAGCTTGTGTTACTTGACATATCTGGCTCTTATTATTGAAGCATGGTTCTTTATGGGTTGCGTGGACTAGTTTTTACAAGCTGATCGATATTAGTCTCCATGTTTTCCTCCTCAACTGTGCTTTTCGATGTCATCGGTTCCCTATATTCTCACCTTATTTCAACCTGATCTCTCCCTCACTCTATTCGTAGGACGCAGATTAGGATTAAAGCAGTCTACTAATCCCAAGACCCTATGACCAGTAAACCTCAATCACAGGAAGCTCTCTAAAACCCTAAAACGTAGGAGGCAAGATTAGGATTTTGATGTAAAGTCACTTGAAATGCTCTCTAACCCTGTTTGGAGAAAATTTTACTGCAAGGGAATTTTTTTTATATAATTTGATTCCACAACACACAAGGAAATCGAAATCTCCATCGAAATTTACTTCTCTAGAGAACGCAATCGCCGACGTGGAGAAGTAATCGTAAAGTGGGTTTCTAGAAAGCAAAACCCTCAGTAGATGAGAGATTAACGATCCAATACGCTTCTATAATTATTCAATGGTGCATAATATTACTCATTTCACCAATCGAAAGTGTCACGTAATGATTTTGATATTTCATTCACCTTGCAAAGGATGCAATGACGGAGCAAGGAATCGAGAAGTTGAAATATAGCAGCTCTTTAATGAAGTGTGCAATTGTATGGCTTGGAGAATGCAACATTTAGTGTCGCCTTTGACGCTCTTTCCCTGAACAAAGCAAGCAATACACCTAATAGCAATTGACGATTGTTGTTATAGCTTATAACATCTCTCTAAGTCCGCGCATATGGATGGGATATGAAAATCGATTTGGCAGGACTTTTATCTTCAGTTCCGGTACAACATTACCCTCCAATAGGGAAGAAACAAAATCTACGAGATGTGACCTCTGTTTAAAGGAAGAAATGCTCGAATATAACCCTCCTAAAGAGCGAGGACCATTCCACGAAGGAATTCTACCTTTAGCAGGATCCGAGTTACAAAATACAAACCAACAGATCATGCCATATGAGAGCTGACACCTCGAGCTCCAATATAATACACCGGCTCAGTCATAAAACCTAACCAACATATGTAACTACTAGCCATTTAGTTCTAACTAGTAGCCAGCAGAAACTGCTATCTAAACATCTAATCAGCAGTCACACCGATAAGTTCTAAGAAAGGTAAAGCGAAGAGAATCACTACACGCCATACCAATTTGATTTCCAGCAGATACATACTACCAGAAACTAAAACCTACACTATAGGCCTATATATCAGCCACAAACCAGAATGAGCGAGAAACACATTCACTATCGAAAACTAAATGGTCAATACATCTTCAGCCAAACTGTTGCTAGCAATCACACAAAGACTAGGGCGGTACCACATTCTCACCACAAAATACGAAGCAATGGAATTACTGATTCTACTCACCCATCAGGTAGTAACTCATCATCAGATATGACTACATATCAGTAATCCTTCAACGATGGCATACCTTCAACTAGCGGCAACAAGAACATGAAACAGAGAAAGAAACGCACTGACACTATGCTCAATCATAGATATTAATAGAACTCACGGAGCAAATTCACTACATTGTAGTCGCAACCGCAAAATAACATCCGCAAAATGGAACAACAGTGCGTCCTCAATCAAACATCATGAAAACAGCTACAGAAACTAATCCAACATTAATAATATTCCATATGCGAGCATAGAACGCCAGACTACTTCATAGATTTTCGAAACATAACTAATCACCCTTCTTCCTGAAAGAGCATCCCTCTGTGAGTCTGGCACGGCCTCCAGTAGGCTGGCACAGGACTGACTGACAGTTGCCGCAGACCACCACAGTTTGAGAGTGACTAAAAACAGTTGTACTGCATAATCAAAGGAAAGGATATAAGCTCTGCCCGAAAACAAGGTTTTGTTCAGTATTCAAATCACTTCAAAGGCAGTTCACTGAGAGACTAAGGTAACAGATGAGGTACTTACATGTTGAAACACCCTTGGCATTTCACATCCTGCAATAAACATCAGCATATAGGGCGTCAGAATCATAAAAGAAGCCGCAGAAATCATCAAATTGAAACGGACAACTCATTGGGCAAAGGAACAGATACCATGAAGAACGAATTGGGAGACTGGACAAGCCGCTTAAGCTTGTGCTTCCTCTTCTCAATATCGGCAGGTGGGTTCAACAAATCCACGTCGTTCTGCAAAACCTATAGAAAAACAGACAGACCGAAATCAAACACAGGCTAAAACAACCCAAATCCATTGAGCGCGAATCCGTAGGTAATTATCCATTTCAAGCATACAATCGTACACACATGAAAGGACACTATCACTCCAACATGATCTGGAGAGCAAACATAAGAGGACTTCGCAACTAATTGATTATAAATAGCTAATTCCAACGGAAACGAAGAGAATATACGAACTATTAACATATACAAGACTCGTATAACAGGCTGCGGAGCCACAGGGAAAGAGTGAAAAATCGGATCGAACAGTATCCAAAACAAACGAATTAAAACAAGGCAACCGAAGGCGAAGAACGATTGGGATGCGAAACCAGAATCAGATTAAGAATGCAATGAAATAGCATAGGAATATGAGAAAAGAATGATTACGACAGAAGGAAGATCTCACCATCTTTGCAAAGGAAGGAAGGATCCGAAAGGAAGAAAGAAGAAACCCTGGAAGCACTGGCTGCTGCGTGTGGCTGTGCTGCTGGTAATACGAGAGGAAACCCTAAACTTGAAGATCTTGAATATATAGCGCGAGTGAGGGGAGAGCCCTTTGCCGCTGGATTAAGAGCGTGTGATGATCTTCGCGGGCCGGTTAAGTTTAAGGCGGTGGTGAAGATGGCTTGACATTTGGCCCAATTAGCATATTACCTGTTGGGTCCATGACAAGTCTTTTCTGTGAAGTGAAAGCCCGTTGCGGCCTCGTTTGGAGGGAGTTCTCTTTGGGCCCGATCAGTTTTGTGCAATAAAAAATTATTATTTTTATTTGCAAATGGTAATTAGAAATTATCAGAAAGAAAGACAAGGAAGTAAATGGTATATAGGTAAGAAAGGCAGGGGGAAGGATTAATTGAGTATGGAGTTAGGTACCGAGAAGTTGTCTTCTTGTTTTTCAACATTCTTTTTTTTTTTTTTGCATTAAGGGAGGCAAAAGCCAAGAAAGAAGAAGACAGGGGGTTACACGGAAGTCGAAGCTACAACTCGACGTTCAAAAGTCACACCCATCTCGTCATCGTGAAGGAAACGTCTCAGATCACTTGGGGGGTCAATAAGCTCATGCATACCGTAGGGATAGACGAGACTGTGCTTCGAGAGCCAGTCCGCGACTCTATTCCCTTCGCGATATGTATGCTCTATATTGACCAACCAATCTCGAGCCAAACATCTCCTTATCGAGGAAAGGAGGGAGGCATGAGGGTGGAGAGGGTCAACCCGATTCTTGATCCACTGAATAACCAACTGGGAGTCCGTTTCCACCTGCAGATTGACGCAACCGTGACTCCAAGCCAGGTTTAAGCCATGAAAAAGAGCCCATAGCTCAGCCAGACCCGCGGTGGCTTCTCCAATTTGGGCCACAAACCCCGCAACCCATCTTCCCTGCTCATCCCGAATAACTCCACCAGCACCTGCCAAGCCTGGGTTGCCCGCCGAGGCCCCGTCAATGTTAAGCTTCCGCCATCCCGGAGAAGGCGCACTCCAGCCAATATTGGCCACAACTCTTTCGGCCGCAGGAGGGGGGTTCCGCAGATCCGCAGTGCTATCCGATTTCCACGCGCTGTGCCAGAGAGAGGCTTTGTGCATGATCGCATGCGCCAGAGACGGGGCGGTGAGCGCTCCTGCCGTCCCATGGAAGCACATCTGACACCTGTTCTTCCAAATAAGCCAGATAGCAACTGCAAAAAAATCACACCACGCCATACCAGAGGAAAGCAAGTCATCATTGAGAACATTCTTGGATATCCACTCCTCCAGGCTGGCAGAAAAGAAGCTCCCCTGGTCTGCTTCCGGGACTTGCTTGTTCCAAAAAAATAAGGCAGGCGGGCAATCCCGGAGAGCGTGCAGGATGGTTTCCGGCACTCCTTCACACCTACTGCACGCCGGCGAGGGAGCACACTTCCTGGAATGCCGCAGCCCATTAGTCGCAATACGCCCCAGCGTAACTAGCCAAGTGAAGACCCGAATGCGCTCCGGAAGCTGCAGCCGCCACACTTTCCGCCAGAGCCTTTCATTCTGGTTTGATCTGTCAGCAAAGGCCATCAGGTACGCTGACTTAGCCGTAAACCTGCCACTGGGAGAGGCCGTCCAGAACAAAGTATCCGGGCAAGACGAGAGGGGATCCACCGCCAGCTATACAATATAACCGCCAGCTATATTCAACATTCTTATCGTTACATCTATACAATATAACAGCCAGCTGGATATCAATTTCATCCAAACCATTATTATTTTATTAGTGGTTTGAAAATTTATGCAGAGTAAAAGATTTTTAATTAATCAACTGCAATATTGAATCGGTACCACATAATATAGAACTGTATTTACCCGTATTCATCACTAAATTCAAATATCAAAGAGTGTAGTATTTTTCAAATAGATTAATTTTTTTTGTGTGTCAAATAATTAAAGTAATTCTAGTGAATCATGTTGTATATAATAGAGTGCAACATCTTATTATTCACATTACATACATGCTAAACTAGTTAGGAAGGAATAAGGTGAAGTAACCACAACCGACTTTGAATGTACTAGAAACCATAACCGTATTAAGAGATTAATGAAGCTGGGAGTACGGTACTAGAAGGCGTGGGTGGAAGAAAGATGAATAAAAGTTAAAAGGACATATATAGTAGCTAATTAAAGGTGAATCACTTATTTGTAAACTTGTTGTACGTGCAGCCTATCTAATTTCACTCGTAATAAGTGTTATAATAATTTGCAATGTGAGTTATGAAAAACTGTAAAATGATTAATTAAATTGATGAACAGCATAACTAGCTAAAAATAAAATGATGAACGTAATTCACATATATGACTATGTATGTTTGCAGTTGGGAGCAGATTATGTAAACATTAGAATATTAATAAGTTAACAACGTACAGTAATTGATGATGGAAGGTGTTTAAAGGCTCAGTCAAGTTGTGAAATGGAAACAAAGTAAATTAAGATAAGGGAGTGAATAGTGAAGATAGGGAAAGGGGGAAGGTAGGGGGGATGGTGCATGTTAAACTGAAATGAGAAGAGGGTGGAGTAACCACGTGGAAGCTCAGCTATCCGTCAATGCTACCTACCAGAAGCCATAAACACCCCACGTCGATCTTATTCACTCAGACTCAGTCACAGGCTCACAGCCAGCAGCGGCTCCTTCCCGATCAACTTTAATACACCTACGTCCCTCGTCCCTACCTACTATTAAACATCAACGATCCTTCAATCTAGTCTAGCTAGCTACATTCACATAACTAAACTACCCCCACTCCCCCTACCTTCTTATATATCCTCCCACGCCTAACCAAATTCTCCACAAACACCAAAATACTTCCCGGCTAAACTAAACTTCATTTCAGTTGCCTACTGTGTAGGTTAATACCAACGAGAGTGCATATATACCACGGCATGGCTGGGGAAGGCGTTAATAAGGTGGAGGAGATCAGAAAGGCCCAGCGGGCGAGTGGGCCGGCCACCGTGCTGGCCATCGGCACTGCAACTCCGGCCAACTGCGTCTACCAGGCCGACTACCCTGACTATTACTTCCGCATCACCAACAGCGAACACATGGCCGACCTCAAACTCAAGTTCAAGCGCATGTGTACGTTACCCCCCGACACCCCTCTCTTTTTCTTTTCAATTATTTCTCTAATAATTTCGTACGTGGTATGTAATATCTCTAGCTACCATAGAAGGAATTATTTTTATAATTTCCACCCAAGCAATGCAATTATTATTATCTAATAATTTGTGAAGTAGCTGGTATGCTTTATTGTTTTTTTTAATGAATAGCTGGGGGTGTTATTTATTTGAACGGTTCAAATGCGCCATCACCATTACTGCTCCGTTATCCTAATCCTCGCTAGTCATTTGTGATAACATTTCTTGTCATGTCACCGATTTATTTAAATTTGGTAGCTGAATTAATTAAATTCTGAGTATAGATTTTTTTTGGCGGAGAAGAAGGTAAAACACTGCAAGAAGCTCCATCGGCACGCGCCTCGCGCCTGCATATGCATGCAATGCTATAAAGAGAGAGCCAACAGTCACGAGAAACCTGCATGTCAACGGACAATTAACGGAAACCTACATTCATAATTATGGATTTTTACACCTTACAGATCTGTATTATATCCATTAGTAAATGCTAGAGATTTGTGGGACAATAGTTTAAAGCCTTAATTTTTTTACTACGATTAATTTTTGTCTGCATTGATGCATTAGCCAAATTTGTAGGAATAAATTTAGAATAATATGAATTAGAATAATCTAACATTTAGTTAAACACATACAAAGGTTTCAAATACGTTATAGACATTTCGGCATTATGGAACCGGCCATATCCTCGCAGTAAATGCAAACTTTCCCTCAATTAGTGCGGGTCAAGTAGTAAAAATACACCAAATCATTTACACAGTTTTTTTTATAACAACCATTTATAGCCACTGTATTTATAAGCTCGAGTTGCTAACAAGAAGTAAACATACTTATTAGTTAATGATTAATGTTGTTGCAGGTGAAAAGTCGATGATAAGGAAGCGTTACATGCACGTGACGGAGGAGTACCTAAAAGAGAATCCAAACATGTGCGCCTACATGGCCCCTTCCCTCGATGCTCGGCAAGACATTGTGGTGGTAGAAGTCCCCAAGCTGGGCAAAGAAGCTGCCTCCAAGGCCATCAAGGAGTGGGGCCAGCCCAAGTCCAAGATCACTCACCTCGTCTTCTGCACCACTTCCGGAGTCGACATGCCCGGAGCCGATTACCAACTCACCAAGCTCCTTGGCCTCCGCCCCTCCGTCAAGCGATTCATGATGTACCAGCAAGGTTGCTTCGCCGGCGGCACTGTCCTTCGTCTCGCCAAGGACCTCGCTGAGAACAACAAGGGCGCCCGCGTTCTCGTCGTCTGCTCCGAGATCACTGCCGTCACCTTCCGTGGCCCCTCCGACTCCCACCTCGACTCCCTCGTCGGCCAAGCTCTCTTCGGCGATGGAGCGGGGGCGGTGATTATTGGAGCTGATCCGGACGAGAAGGTTGAGAGGCCTATGTTCGAGCTCGTGTCGGCTGCGCAGACCATACTTCCAGACTCGGAAGGGGCCATCGACGGCCACCTGAGGGAAGTAGGTTTGACTTTCCACTTGCTTAAGGATGTGCCCGGTTTGATTTCTAAGAACATCGAGAAATCGCTCGTAGAGGCGTTCAAGCCCATTGGGATTAGTGACTGGAACTCGTTGTTCTGGATAGCGCATCCTGGTGGGCCTGCTATTTTGGACCAGGTGGAGGAAAAGCTCAGGCTAAAGCCCGAGAAGATGAGGGCTACTCGAGAGGTATTGAAGGAGTACGGCAACATGTCCAGTGCATGCGTGCTTTTCATATTGGACGAGATGAGGAAGAAGTCGGCGGAGGAAGGGAAGCTAACGTCCGGTGAAGGGCTGGAATGGGGAGTTCTTTTCGGGTTTGGACCAGGTCTCACCGTCGAGACCGTCGTGCTCCATTGCCTCCCTAATGCTGTTGTCGCTACAGCGTGATTTATTAGCCCAGACCCTACCTAACAAGAAAGTGGGGGTAAAATAATAAAAATGGAATTATGGAAGGACATGGTTTTTTATATTCTAAAATTACTCGTTTCTCGTGTTGAATCTTCTTAATTCCTTCTGTTCTGTTGTTTTTGGTTTATTATGTGTTGTGTGTGAGTGTTCATTGTATTTGAAATTTAAGTATGATTTAGTTACCATCAATATACATATATACCAATCTATCATTTGATATGATCTATGTTCTGTTTATTTGTGGAATTTACACATGTAATACAAACTGTTTAACCTAAATTGGCTATGTTTTGTTTATTTGTGTAATAAACACATGTAGATGTAATACAAACAGTTTAACCTAAATTGACTATATATTAACAAAGTTATCCTGTAGCGGTCGAGTAGCTAATAGCGTACACGAATGGTGTAGCAAGGCTGACTTTATAGATTCCGTTCAATCGGATAAATCTTATTATGTTATTTTAATTGGATTCAAATTGATAAGAGACTATTTTAATTGCGAGGATGGTGAGGCAGTGATAAACTAACTGTTTTTAAAAAATCACAAAGCATGGGTTAGGCAATTAAGGACAACTTCCACCTATCATGGAATCAATAATTAGGAAGTCATTCATCATATGTTGACTTTAAATAATTGTATAATTCGTTCTTATCATTATTGAATGATAAAAGTACAAAAATTATGCGTATAGGTGCAACCTAACAAGATTTTGTTTGTTCATATACAAACATGTGGTCTTCACTAATAGCCCAAGCACTACAAGAAAACAATAATTAGAGACAATTACTCTATTGCTCTCTATAGCTAAACTTTAGAGGCAAAAATATTATGGGTGTGCCTACGGTGACATGCATGTCACGGTGACTTGCACTTTCCGGTCGACCTCATATAGGATCCGGTCGACCTCATTTAGGATTCGGTCGACCTCATATAGGATCAGGTCGACCTAATCTGTTGTTTCAGTGTAAAAACAGTTCATGGTGCCTACTTTGGATATTCATATCATACAATTGGTTAGATGGAAATTGAAGACTAATGACTTGTTTTGAAGCTGGAGTGTCCCTCTACATATTGAAGTGATTGAGAGCTCGATAGGAAGTCCAGAAGACCATTTTTGAACCTCATCAAAAGGCTATGCCAAAACTGGGAAACTGCCTGGAAATGACTAAGTCTGGAAACGTGTTTGTGAAGCCTATTTTGGAGCTCAATTCGAGAAGCATGAATGCGGGTCGAATCCAGGAGCCTCTACCACGTTAAATTAGGTATGTTTTTATACAAATTCACTCGAAGTCTGCCAGAAAAACAACCATCGTAGCAACTTCGACCATTTTGTTTGAAGCCTTACAGATATCCAATCTTTCATCCAATGCCTTGCCTTTGTATAAAAAAAAATACGTAATTTAACGTGGTAGAGGCTCCTGGACTTGACTCGCATCCATGCTTCTCAAATTGAGCTCCAAAGTAGGCTTGACAAACACGTTGCCAGACTTAGCCATTTTCAGGCAGTTTCCCAGTTTTGGCATAGCCTTTTGGTCAGGTTCAAAAATGGTCATCTGGACTTTCTATTGAGCTCCCAAGTACTTTAATGTGTAGAGGGACAATTCAGCTTCAAAACAAGCCTTTAATCTCCAATTTCCATCTCGCCAATTCTAAGATATGAATCTCCAAAATAGGCACCATGAAACTGTTTTTACACTGAAACAACAGATTAGGTCGACCTGATCCTATATGAGGTCGACCGAAAAGTGCATGTCACCGTGACATGCATGTCACCGTAGCAAAGTCCAAATATTATTTGTCTCCGTAGGTGAAATTATATGCCTCGGTAGGTAAATCTAATAGCCTTTAGAAACAAATACAAATGTTACTTATAGTATTTTATATAGAGGCAAATCTAATAGTTTTTAGAAACAAATACAAATGTCACTTATAGTTATATTATATGGAGACAAATTTGTTAGCCTTTGGAAGCAAATACAAATGTCTTTATACCTATGTTATGTAGACGCAAATCTAATAATATTTAGAGACAAATATAAATGCGCCTAATAATTATGTTATACAAATGTAAATCTAATAATCTTTGGAGACAAATACAAATGTTAATATAAAATATGATTTTCTTGTTAATATATTGTATTTGATTATTTAAATTATTTTTCGCAGAATTATATTCATGCGTTGTGATTTTTTGTAAAAAAATGTAAAAATGGAGATGGGAGCAACTGCACTTCCTCAATTCCCGTTGGTGTTAGTATTAAAAATATCTTATAATATTTTCCGTTCATAAATAACCAATACGCGCAATCCTCACCCTGCCGGTTGCACTCCCCTCTCGTCAACCCCTGTCGCCGTAGTTTCTATCTCCCTCAAGCCGCCAACATCTCTCTTCTTCCCGATCCAACCTTCCCAGCCGTGAATGATCTCAATAAACCACAACAAGTGATTTGAGGGACGACGACATCGACGATTGGAGTAGTAGGCCTCCCATCCTATTTTTGTTCCGATTACCACTGAATTCGATCTCTATCAGCACGACCCATGGTATTTTCCAGGTAAATCGAGCAAATTTTTTCTTCTGTGTGTTTTCAGATTTCTTTGTTGTCCCTCAAACCACCATCTCTTCAATCGCGTTAACAGGCGAGAGCGGCGGGCACCAATCGACTACGGAAAAGCAGTTTGAGCGGCTGGAAGGGATTTCAAAGAGTGTTTAATTTAATTATTAGTTTTCTTTCTAAAATTTATTTTTGGAATTGATACATCATTCACCTCGCTCAGATCTGGATCCTTCAAAACCCTAACAACCTCGGCCGCACTCCTTCATAACCGTCCTTCACCAAAATTGTTGTTGGCGGAAATGATTTGGACGACACATATGGCTTGCTCCGACAGCTAATCCAGTGGCGGTTCGACAGTTTTGGTGAGCCATATGTTCTGCTTACTCCTGATCACAACTTTGTTGTAGCCTCCAAAGTAATTTGTTCCCACAAAAACTTTGAATATTTTGGATGTTAGAAGAGAGTACTGTGATTGGTAAGTTGAAAGGATTGGTTTGAAAGAGTTCTCTTGAAAGTCATCTCCTTTTTATCGATTTGGCTTTACCAGGGCTTCCATTTTCAGGTTTATGGCTATTCTCCAATTTTGTTCGTCAGTGAGGACAGAAATGAGAAGTTGAGATGACAAGAGCTAAAGCAAACGATGGAAATGTACTGCTCAACTTGCAAAGAAGCTCTCTCCATCTAAATAACCAGTACAATGACAACAACAGTAGCAGCCTTGTCAGCCTTTGATGTTTAGGCTTTTAGTGTTTCTTAATGTTTTCTAATGGATGTATTCACGTATAGAAGAATTATTTGTATTTTTTTTTTTTTTGAAGAATAATGTATTAGAATATCATTAAATAAAATTTTATTTTTGAATTGTATTCCCGGTAAATATATGTTCCTGTGAGAAACACGGATAATCGAATCAGAAATTAGGGTTGAGAATAGAAGAATTAGGGTTGAGAATTGGGAATTGAGATGAGAATTGAAGAAGAGATGAGGAATTAGGTCTAGGAATTCTGATATTCTGCTTGATTAATCGAAATAACAAAGACTGTAGCTTAAATAGTTCTCCCTCTCTAATAATGACAAATTACCCAAATACCCCCAAAGAGCCATTTGGCCCCCTTACACCGTGTCTCTCACACTCCCCCCCTCTTCCAGACCGAGCTTGTCCTCAAGATCGAAGGCCGGATAGGTCTGACGGATCGTTTCCGTGTCCTCCCAAATAGCTTCCTCTGGTGCCAAGTGCCTCCACTGAATCAAGCTCTCGGAGACCCGTCGTTTGCCTCGGAGAGGCCAGCGCACGTCCAACACAGCCTCAGGCTCCAGCTCCAAAGCGCCATGCTCATCCACCGGCGGCTCGGGTGGTGGGGCCGACGGCGCTACTCCTCGGTACCTGCACAGAAGTGAGACATGAAAGGTCGGGTGAATCCGAGCTGCGTCCGGTAGCTGCAACCTGTACGCCACGGCTCCGATCCTCTCTAGCACCTGGTACGGCCCAAAATATCGGGCCGCGAGCTTCTGGTAAGCTCTCTTAAATACTGACGTCTGCCGGTAGGGGTGTAGCCTGAGTAGGACCCACTGCAAACTCCTCGTCCCGCCTTCCGGAATCCGCCTGCTGCTTCGACCTGTTGTTGGAAGCGGCCAAATTGGCCTTCAACTGTTGCAGTGCTTCGTCCCGGTCCGCCAACCACCTGTCCACCACATCCACTGCACTCGCCCCTGACTGGTACCGGACCAGCATCGGCGGCGTCCTCCCGTAGAGAGCCTCGAAGGGAGACATCTGAATAGACCGGTGGTACGTGGTATTATACCACAGCTCCGCCCAGGGCAACATAGCGAGCCAACGGCGCGGCTGCTGGTGAGCAAAACATGCAGGTACTGCTCCAGTATCTTGTTCACTACCTCGGTCTGCCCATCTGTCTGAGGATGATAGGCCGAACTCATCTTCATCTCCATTTTCGCCAAGGCGAACACCTCCTTCCAGAACCTGCCCAGGAACAAGGCATCTCGATCACTCACTATCGAGCGGGGAAACCCGTGGTGCCGAATGACCCCCCAGACAAACTGCTCTGCTACACTCCGGGCAGTATACGGATGAGCCTGGGCCATGAAGTGTGCGTATTTGGTGAGGCGATCTACCACCACCAAGAGAACTGTCTTTCCACCAGATGGTGGAAGGCCCACTATGAAGTCCATGCTAATATCTTCCCATACCCGCTCTGGCACCGGCAGTGGCTGAAGTAGTCCTGCTGGCCTCAACTGGGAAGCCTTGACCCGCTGACACGTGTCACAGGATGCGACATAGTCCTGGACCTCGCGGGTCATCTGTGGCCAGTAGAAATGACTGCGAATCTTCCTCAAGGTCCGCTCGTACCCCGAATGGCCTCCCACCGGTTAGTCGTGAAATTCCCTCATAACAGTCGTCGTGAGGGAGGTGGCTGGAGGTAAAACCACGCGACCCCGGTGAAACACCAAGCCGTGCCTGAAGGTATAGTTGCCAGGTGTCGGACTGAGAGCGATATCCCGGCGCTCCTGCAGGAACGGACTCGCCTCCACCGCCCTTCTGACCTCCTCCCAGAACAACACCACTGGCCCTGTCACTGCCGCCACCTGCGGCCTCCACTCTACCCGCGAGAGGGCATCCGCGGCCTTGTTCATCGGCCCCGGTCGATAGTGCAACTCATAGTCGTATCCCATCAATTTCACCACCCACTTATGCTGGTCTGGGGTGGACACCCTCTGATCCATC